AGGGTAAACAATCATCAAGGCATGGCATAATCACAAGTAGGATGTTCATCATTGCATGCAATTTTATTTGTAAACAAAACAATTTCGCAATTAGGATCAACATGTTCAAGGAATAGTGATGACTTGCCTTGCTCAGGATAATCCTTATTATTGATATAATCTTGATCAACCTTCACCTCCTGGAAGTTGCAGACGTTGCCTCACGACTAACCGATACACAAGGTCTATAATACGCGAGAAAAACCAATATTCAAACAACAATCAAATATGCACAAACAAAATATATTTGCTGAGGTCGAACCTAGGGTTGCTCATATTATTCGCGCTTGCTAATGGACTCTAATCAAGCTAAGAGCTAAGGTTTCTTAGTCTTTCTGTTGTCATGGTGGTTCAGTCTAGCTAATGGCTAAGGAAGGATTATGGTTACACATGCATCTATCTAAATAGAACGGTTATACACTAGAGGTTCTGTTGCCGGATGGATTTTGGATCGGTCAAATAATTACTGTGAATCATTTGTATTATTATTTTATTAATGGAGGCTTTATTTTAATTATGTACATATTTCACTTGTCAAAATAAATTATAAAAGGTTAACAATTACCCATGCTTTGTATGTTGGAATTGTTTAGGTTAATCATATTATGGTTACGGATTATCCCATCACCTAATTTTACAATGAATAATCCAAGTTTACAGTTGATCTGTAATTATACGAGGACAGGATGTATAACTAGTATTTATCTAATATTCATGTTTGTCATATACTCCCTCTAAATTAATATATGCAACAAGCAAATTAATACGATACCATATATCTATAACGGGATGTACAATATATGCGTGCATAATATCTTAATATATTGAATCATTTATTTGAATAGTTTCTATTTACTGCTTGGTTAACTAAGGGTTGCTCACCTTGCCTACTATATGCTATTTTATGGGATATGTCGTTGATTAATTTCATATAGGTGATTTAATCACACTAGCTCTGTTATTATTTGCCATAAACAAGCTTATGACCGATCTATGTGTATCTATATTTTACTTACCTAACAATTATAAGGCTAACTCTATTTAAATAACTAATAAGTCGTGGGTTTTAATTATATTTGGACATAGATTAGTAAATGGCACTAATATTTTCCTGTACACCCATTAATTTGAAGGATTGATTATAACTAATTTATTTAGTTGCTACAGTGACAAGACATGTTAAAGATAATTATGCCACTGTACAATATCCATTTTCGATTTATACATCCTAAACTATTTTGCGGGTATAAATATTTTGTTAGCATAAGTTTTTAATTTAATCTACCCGAGCATTATATCCATATAATAGGGTAGAAATTTTCTATCGCGAGCTAAGTATCGGACGAAATCCTGGAAATATTGTACGAATTAATTTAGTCTATGACTAAATGATTAAATATAATACAAGGGAAAAATCCGAATTTCTACCGTGAATTGATTATTTATAGGGATTACCCAAAAATAATCTATAATAATCTATAATAATTCATCTTATTTGTTTAGTAATTAACTACATCTAAATTATTACCGCGAATTGATTTCTTATAGAAATTGCCAAGAATAATCCATAATTTATATTAAATTTTGCAATTCTACGACTATAATTAATCCATAATTAAATTCTAATTATTTTAAATCTTCTAAACTTCCCTAATCTTCCTCTAATTTCTATTTATTTTTTTTTCCTTCTTTTTCTCTCCTCTTTTCTTTCTTTTCTTTTCTTTTTCTCTCTTTTTCTCTCTTTTCTCTCCTTTCTTTTTCCTTTCTTTCTCTCCTCTCTCTCTTTTTCCCTTTCTTCTCTTTCTTTCCTCCCTCCCGGCTTCTTCCTCCCTTCCTCTCTCTCTCTCGGCTCAGGCTACCCGGGGCGGCGACAGCGGCGGAACGAGGGAAGGGGCGGCGGCTTACCGACGACGGCGGCGGCGACGGCGGCGCAAGGCGAGGCGACGCTCGGCACGGCACACAGCGCGGTGTGGCGGCACCGAGGGCGGCAGCGCGGCGGCACGAGGGCGGCAGCGCAGTGGCACGAGAGCGGCGGTGCGGTGGAGAGGGAAGAGGGGAGGAGGAGGGAAATGGAGTGGGGGAAAGTGGAGAGGGGGTGGGGTATTTATAGGGAAGAGGGGGAGAAGGAGAGGGGAAAGGGCGGCGGCTTAATGGCGACGCGACAGCGGCGCACGGGGCTCGGGACGACGGCGACGCGCGGGCGGCGACGCGATGGCCGCGCGGGACGGCGCGCGGCAGCACGGGGCTCGGGGCTTCGAAGGCGCGGCAGCGCGAGGGGCGACGGCTCGCGGCGCACGGCGATGGCGACGCGACGGCGACGGCGTGCGGCGCGGCACGATGGCGACGGCGATGGCGGCTCGGGGCTCAAGGTGATGGAATGGCGATGGCGCGACGAGACGGCGACAGCGCGGCAGCGGCGGCACGGGGCGCAAGGTGACGCGACGGGCGGCAGTGGCGACGCGACAGCGGGCGGCGCGGCGCGGGGTGCGATGACGCGACAACAACGGTGATGGCGACGCGGCAGCGACGGCGATGGCGCGGCGTGGCACGGGGCTCGGCGCGCGGCGATGGCGACAGGGCGACGCAGGGCTCGAGATGACGGCGACATGACGGACGCAACGCGCGGCGTGGGGCGCATGGCAGCGGCGGCGCGCGGCGCGAGGCAGAGACGGCGACGGCAGGCGGCAGAGAGAGGGGGAAAGAGGAGGGCTGGGTTAGGGGACCACGTCGAGCACCTAGAGTGCAATGAACAGTGCCATTTTCTATTTAACCCGATTTTAGTTTATTTCCCATATAAATTTAATTCTATAATTTCTAAATCTTGCATAAATGAAGTTTACTCAATATTTGTGTTATTCTAACCAATGGATTCACCCTAGATTAATATTACTCATATTTTATTTTTATATAATTTATTTGAGTTTTAATTAGGGTTAATTCTTATTCCATCGTACTTAAATTTAATTGATCCAAATATGGTCGCGATAATATTTTATTTATTTCTATCCACACCTAATCTTTATTTTAATTTGTATTTACTCCTAAGCATTTGGGTGACCATATTAAGTGTTCAAATGTGAATTTGCCCAAAATTTAATATTGTCCAATATTTAAGGTTTATTAAAGATTCTATAATTTTCTAATGAGACCGTTATTAACACAATAGCACATTAGCTCAATTTATTTATATGTTAGTTTATTTTATATGGAGAGGTTTAATATATCAAATTTCAATCCCTAAATGCAATTAGTAACTTGGTGCAATATCGATCTACATATCGAATTAAATACTCCCGTAATTCTATTATATATACAGAGAGCTCAGTTTATTTGAATGATCATCATTTCATGTGTACACCTATTATGGCACCCACCTACATTATTTAAATATTTTAATATTTGATAAAATAGGTTAATAATAACTTTTTCTTTTATTTGATTTTAATATCTTGTGCATAATTATTTGTAGGATTAAATATATTCCCGTAAATCATATCTATTGCTTAAATGTAGTTCTTTTCTTTATTTTCTTGGTGATCATTTACGGTTTGGCAAGCAATAGCAATCATAACAACCAGCATGATGCAAAAGTTTAAAAAGTTCGAAATTTTCGTGATTTTCATTGTCTTGAATTTTCAGGATGTTACAGTCTTCCTCAGATGATTCATAATCAGAGTCAGTCTCATTGCAATCATCATCACCAGAACTTTCACCTTCCCTTTCTTCAGTCCCACCTTGGTTCTGAGGATTAGTAGGAGGAGGGGGCTGGTTTGGACCCATATCAATGTACAAACCTTCATCATCAACACCCACATGCTCATACATTGGATTTGGGTTACAAAGGTATTCAGTTTCATCACAATAGGGTTCAGTAGATTGGTGTTCAGCAAATTGATTGAGTGTGCCACTTGTTGCTTCAACTAAGCTTGGACATGCAATAGAAGGGGTGAATGGGGGTTGAGCAGGGTTCACAGTGCTTTGCTTAGAACAATCCCAATCGGGAATCACAGAAGGCTCACTACTTGGGCTATGATACGCAACAGTCAACAAACATGTTCTTATAGCCCTATGTTTTGCAAACATTTCAACCAAATCTTGGTCATTGCAAACTAGGATGTGAGATTTAGTCTCAGTGCAGAAAAAGAACAAACTGACTTTGTCACCGTATTTATGAGGATACTTCTCGACCAAATCAGCAAGCAGGTCCCTGAATTGAGTGCGGTCTGCATCCACCACTTGGTTCAACGAAAACCACCGCGCACGACAATTTCGAGCAACAATCCGGATTTCTAAGTTGAAGCTACTGTCTGGGTCCATCCTACAGATGAACAAGTAGCACGCAATCATTAAACCCTAACACGGATCGGAAGCGCTTGGCACTAAGCATCAATGCATCATGGGAGGCAATTGGGGCGAAATCAGCGAAATCAAAGGGGAAAGCAAAGGGGGAAGTAAAGAGGGAAGCAAAGAACTCACTCGTCTAGGAACCAATCCGAGCGGTCGTCGGCGCCGTTCCACACCATGGCTGCTCCTCCCCCTTCCTCTGGACGCATTGTCTTCCCCCTTCCTCTCGATGCACGGTCAAATCCACGCTCCCATGCTTCTCCAAGCCCCCGGATCTGCCGCCGCTAGGGTTTCCCCGCCACGGAGAGAGGGGAATTGAGTGGGAGGAAGAGAGAGAGAGAGCGGACTTCACCGCATCGGTCAACGGTAACCCTTATGCCAGCGACTGAAAGGGCAAGATGGACAATTTTCCTACCCGGGCCCATATGTCGGAGCTGTCAAACGGCTCAACCCTAACAGAATAGCGACGGAAGGGTGTGTAGGGCGCGATAAAGTTCGACGATGGCATTCTGGGAGGCTCAAACTTTTTAGTGGCACAGATGCAGGGGCCATCTTTTTTAATGGCACACAGGTAAAAACCTCTGTTTGAATGGGCCTAACTCTCAAGAAAGAAATAAAAAGAAATAAAAACGCCCGTAGTGGGGAGGGGAAAGCAAACAAGCCCTAGTTCCGCCGATGGAGAGGAGCGCCGGCGAGGAGGTTGGCCGTGGCGTCGCTTGCGATTAGGGTGGAGGCGCCGGACAGCAGGAGGGTGGAGGCGCCGGACAGCAGGAGGGTGGCGTTCCGATGGGTACAATCTGTTGTCTCCGATGCCGGCCAGGAGGGCGGCGTTCCGATGGGTGGGAGGAGGGGCGGTGGTGAACTGGTGACGCCGGCGTCGGCCAGAAGGGTGGCGTTCCAACAGAAGATATCCTAGCTGTTCCAGGAAGCTCGCGAGCACTGCTTCTCTCGCTTCTCTCTGATTTCGAGAAGTATATGTCACTCATCTCTACTTCTAGTTATCTCTATCGACATCTGTACATCTTCTAGTTACCGAAATCTGCACAGATTCAACAATTTTACTCTAGACAATATATAGAGTAAGAATGGGGAAATGGTGTACCTATCTCTATCTGCACTGGTTCATCTCATTAACTAGGATATATAGAATAAGAATGGGGCGATGATGTTTTTACCCAACTTAATTTGGTGCTCAATCATGATTATGTCCTCCTTTTTCTTACTTTGTGATTTTGTCCCTGTTTTTTTTTTTTTGCGAACTGAAGCTACCTTTTGCCCCTAGTTCAGACTTATGATAATTACAAAGTATATGCAATGGTTATTTCAGCGAAAGACAATCTTTACTACCATCTCTGGTGCCACTGGGCGACGTTCCGATGGGTATGAGGAGGGGCAGTGGTGGCGCTGGCGCTGACCAGGAGGGCGGCGTTCCGATGGGTGGGAGTAGGGGCAGTGGCGATGCCGGCACTAACAAGGAGCACGGCGTTCCGATGGGTGGGAGGAGGGGCAGTGGTGGTGCCGGCGCTGACCAGGAGGGCGGCATTCCGATGGGTGGGAGGAGTGGCGGTAGTGGTGCCGGCTTCGGCTTGGATTGGGTGTGGGACTGGCGTAATCCCAACAGGTAGAAAATTCTTCCATCAACACTGAAATGATTATTGTTGGTACCAGTGACCAAGCCTGAAATGATATGATTGATTGCGCAGGTCTGTGCCGCCACCACCAACAGAAGATATCCCAGCTGTCCCAGGAAGCTCAGGAGTACTACCTCTCTCTAATCTCCAGAGGTATATATGTCACTCATTTCTACTTCTAGTTATCTCTATCGACATATGTACATCTTCTAGTTACCACTATCTACGCAGATTCATCTAATCAACAATTTTACTCTAACAATATATAGAGTAAGAATGGGGCGATGTTGTACCTATCTCTATTTGCACAGGTTCATCTAATGAACTAGGTTATATAGAATAAGAATGGGGCGATGATGTTTTTACCCAACATAATTTGGTGCTCAATCATGATTATGTCCTCCTTTTTCTTACTTTGTGATTTTGTCCCTGTTTTTTTTCAAATCGAAGCTACCTTTTGCCCCTAGTTCAGACTTATGTTAATTACGAAGTACTATATGAAATGTTTATTATCGGTACCAACGACCTGACCTGAAATGATTGATTGCAGCAAAAGACAATATTTAGTATCATCTCTGATGCTGCTATCATCTCTGCCTCTCTCTGATCTCCAGAGGTATATATGTCACTCATCTCTACTTCTAGTTATCTCTATCAACATCTGTACATCTTCTAGTTACCACTATCTGCACAGATTCATCTAATAAACTATCGTCCTAACACTATCGTAGGGTAAGAACACTAACACCCTAACAAGAATAGGAGTCCAATTTCTTTTTTTTCTTTTTGTAATTTACACTCCCTCGTTGTATGGTGTTTAGACAACAAATACATGCAATGCGCACCAAGTTATCAAGTTTTAAAAATAAGGAAAAGGATTAGTTAATTAATTATGTGTATAGTTATTTTTCTTTTGTGCACACCTATAGTTTCATTGGTGTGTATACTTATAGCTTTGCATTTGGTTAGTCTAACATTTTAAAATTCTGTTCAAATTAGGCATTCTGAGAAATTATCTGATACACATGGATCAGATAAGGAAGATGAAGTGGTGGATTCTTCAGACGATGATTGTGATCCATATTTTAACTATTTGGTTGATAGCTTTATGACTGCAACTAAAGCTCAACCAAAACAGTTGTATGGCAATATTGATCTTGTTGCAGCTGCACAACGTCAGTCTAATGAGTATGCAAGTAGTGCTTTGGATTACTATAACAAGGATGAAAACAATAAGGTAAAATTTTGTTCCCCTTGATTGATTTGAGATGATGGTTCGCGTACGTGGATGCTTAAATTAAATCTCTGTCTAATTAAAATTATATGTTTACACTATATTAATACTTGGTCCTTAGATTATACACTAATGTGATATTGTAACCTTATAGTGATTTTAAATGGTGGTGTCACATATACGGATGCTTAATTAGATGAGTGGTTTTAAACTTCTAGCTAACTAAGATGCTATATTGCACTATATCATCCTCGGACCTCAATATATACTCTAGGTTATAATAGCATTGTATTGATACTAGGTTGTTGATGTGTGAGAGAGAAAAAGAGATTTTCTCGATAAAAAAGGTTTTAAGAGGAGATTTTGATATATTTGTTTAATATATATGTCATGTAGCTAAAATCATCCTATTTATATGCAAAATTATACCAGTTTGCCCACCTTAGGAGACCATATCCTAAAGTTAGATGTCTGGTTTCAAATTTTGTGGTGCTAGATGGACTTCCACTTTAGGTGGGTATATTGACTGTTTCCCTTTTTAACATTTGTACTAAAATGTCTTGCTCGTTTCACAAGTATTTGATTCATTTTTTGTTATTTGCAATGTGTTAGATTCAATACAGCTTAATCAAAGCCTTAAAAAGCAGTACAATTAGAGAGAAGGGTGAGAAATATGGACATGTCAACTTCATAGCATCTTTAGATTCAAAGGAAGAGCTATTTTTCGCCGAAGTTTGTTGGGATCCCAAGAACTATGATATGGTGCCGACCTGCATTGTATCTCTTGAGGAGAAAAGGAGAATTGGTTAGTATGGAATCACTGGTTAAAGTTCTTTGAACCATGTAATTATTATGTTCCTAATCCTAATTCTGTTAATAACAGGGGGACGCTCCTTTATTAATGACGAGTATGTGGTGTGTCTGGATCTCCAAAATCCGCCTATAGATGGCAAGCACTGCTATGGATGTAGCGAAGAGATTAAGCACCCAGAAGATGGATCTACGTTTAAGGCCGGGCATGTAGCCGCCACCGGTTTTTATGATTCTTTCATGTAGCTGCCATCAGTTACTATTCTTTCTTCCGAGTTTGTATAAAAGCTCAACTAATCTACCCTTAACAGCTGTTTTTACTGTTCTATTTATTTTGCATCTTGTCTACACTAGCAGACTTATTTTGTGGCTATGAATGGATGAATATGCTGCGTTATGTATACAGAGTTGAGGTGAAAGCTTTGAATGGATTACGATATTATAAATCATACAATATCATATTACTAAAAAAAGATCCATCCCGTTCATTATGAAAGAAACAAAAATTTTCCATGGGACATGGACTATGGTGAAAATCTGACAAAAAATCACGTGATAATGTTGGGTTTAGTTCACACTAAAATTGAAAATTTGATTGAAATTGGAACGATGTGATGGAAAAGTTGAAAGTTTATGTGTGTAGAAAAGTTTTGATGGGATGAAAAAGTTAGAAATTTAAAGAAAAACTTTGGAACTAAACACGGCCATCATCATGGTTTCATGCGTTTGATTTCTGGAAGTCTGAACTCATTAAGAACGCGGTTATTTATATTAGGATAAAGCACCAGAGATTTGTTAGCCCTGTCGCTCGAGTTCATCCGCGTATGCTTAGCCGCGTGCTGTCGCGTGTCGCCATCGCTGCGCCATCGGAGAAGGAAACAAACACTGATTAAATTAAATTAAACACTGAGAAAATTCCTCCCCAACTTCTTCTCGCAAACCACCTCTTTTATATACCTCCCAATTCACAACTCTGAACATCACAAATTCATTTCACAAGTTCAGAGCTCCCTGAACCTGAAATCTGTTCGAAACAGAGGCCCTCTCAAAATTCTCAATCTGCCACCGCATCAACGAGGTGGGGCCCAGCCTCCGTGACGTCACGACACTGACTTGGTGGGCCCACCTATCAGGCCTGTCCACGTTGACCACATCGCGTCACACCGTCCACGACTTTTTTTTTTCCCCTGATTCCCTCGCAGCCAGGGCACCACTCCTTCTAGAGGAAAAGGATCGATTTTTTTTCTTCCCCAATTTCTTCCTGGTGCTCACCTCCTCCTCCCCCGGGATCTTCCAGAAGCTTCCAGAACTGACCTTGGTAAAGAATCTTTCTCTCTCTGGCTTTCTTGGTGGAGGCTTGGTTTCTCTGTTGGTTTCTCCTGGTGTGATTGGAGGTTGGCGTTTGCAGGTGCGGGCGAGATCCAAGGAGGAGGGTTTCCTGCCATGGTGAAGGATACCGCGTACTACGACACCCTGGGGGTCAGCGTGGACGCCTCCCCCGCCGAGATCAAGAAGGCCTATTACCTCAAGGTGAATTCCTTTTTGCGCCTTTGATTTCTTCATCTTTTTTTTTCTTGATTGATTGATTTCGTGTGTCGTCATCAATGTAGAATTGCAGATAGCTATTGGCCTATTGAGCTAATCTTCGTGTGCCAAATTGATTTTTTTTTAATCTCTCTTCCAGGCGAAGCAGGTGCATCCGGACAAGAATCCTGGGAACCCCGATGCGGCGCAGAAATTTCAGGTAGTTTTTTTTTTCTTTTTCTCCCGTGCCTTCTGTTGATATCTGTGATTCTGTGCTAGTAATTTGATTTGTTGGATTTGATTGTGGAATGAAAAGTAAGACTACGTGTTCACAAAAACATGTTTTTTCTTTATGAATTGGAATAGTTTACTGCAAGTGTCAAAGCTATGCTATAGCTAGAAGAATGTGAATAGGCTGGAGTTTGCTTGATTTTTACCAAGTGATATCAGATTTTTGCAATGCAGCGCCTGTGTTACTTGTTAAGAGGCATAGTTTTATCGTCGGAGATGCCATGATTTTCAGTATGAGCATCTTCTGGGTGTTAAGAGGCAGAGTTTTATCGACAGAGATGCCAGTATGTTTTTTGAGCGGAATGTTTGGTTGTTTGGTGTATATACATTGAAGCTATTGTGTTGATTGTCTATTCGGCATCAAATGCCTGCTTAAATTATTTCCCTCTATGAATTATTGAATTAAATAGCTTGATGTTAACAGGAACTCGGAGAGGCATACCAAGTTTTAAGCGATCCTTCAAAAAGGGAGGCTTATGATAAGCATGGAAAGGAGGGGCTTCCTCAGTAAGTCACGAATTTTTTTTATGTCTGGTAAACAATGGGTGTTCTTCTCAAAAGATAAAAGGGTGGCAACTAAAAAACTGTTTAATCTTTAATCTGAACAAGTGTGCTGAGAATATAGAGCGGGCCAATTTGGTAAATTAATTGCACAGTGCAACAAGAAAATTGGAGTGTATTCAAATGACCTGTCAATTTCTATGGGTTGATACTTGGTAGATCACTATTTCCTTAGCTATAAAAGCACATCTGTTTAAAGGAAAAGGAGACTTCTCTAGGCACGTTATGAAATTCAAACAGTCAGTTATGGAACACAATATTTTCAGTTAAGATGATATTTATAGTTCAATAGAAACTAAAGAAATTATGCGTTGTGCTGTACCCTTTAAGTTGGCGTCTTACACATTTTACACGGCATTTCAGGGATAACATGGTGGATCCTGCTGCTGTCTTTGGGATGCTTTTTGGAAGTGACTATTTTGAAGATTATGTTGGACAGCTTGCACTGGCATCCATAGCATCAGTGGAAGTCGAGGAAAACTTAAACAGTCAAGAAGCAAGAGGGAAGGTTCAAGAGAAAATTAAAGTATGTTACTCTCGAAGTTCCCTACTGTTTTGCTTAAATAGTTTCATTAAAGTTAGCATTCCACTTAGGCTCTAGGATGCTGAGACACAAATTAAAACTAAAGCTTCCTGTGTGACAGGAGTTACAAAAAGAAAGAGAACAGAAGCTTATTCAGAGCCTAAAAGATCGACTTCAACCATTTGTGGATGAGAGAAAGGATGAATTTGTTAACTGGGCAAATGGGGAAGCTCAGCGGTTATCCCATGCAGGTACATCATGTGATTGTGTACTACTTTGTTTTTATTTGAGAGGGCTATATGCTTTCTGCAGTCACTTTTACTTTGTTTGATAAATCAGTTGCTTTCACCAGCAGATTGGCAAATTGGATATGATTACATCCACATAGACATAGATTTTGTGGGGTCTTAATTTTAAAACAAATTGTATAGAACTCATCGTTGCACGTTCCCTAATTCACTTTATTCATACGAGTATTTTACCATTGGCTTATCAAATGAATATTTTTCAGCTTTTGGCGAGGCTATGCTCACCACTATTGGCTATATTTATGTGCGACAAGCAGCGAGAGAACTTGGAAAGAGTAAGTTGTATATGGGTGTACCATTCATAGCTGAGTGGGTCAGAGACAAGGGCCACTGCATTAAATCACAGGTTAATGCCGCTTCAGGTACACCCCGAGACACTGTTTTGTTTCTGGTGCAATATACGATTCAAGTACTCCTTGATAATTAGCTCCTGTTGCAGGCGCTATCGCTCTGATGCAGCTACAAGAAGGGATGAAAAAGATGGAGGAAAGTGACAATAAGGAGGACCAGATTATGAAGAGTTTCGAGGAGAAAAAAGATGCCATGCTTAGTTACCTATGGAAAATTAATGTGGTTGATATTGAGTCAACACTTACACATGTTTGCCAAGCAGTAAGTTTTTGCGTATCCTTGTTAGTGGAAGAAGGCTTGCATAGTAACAATTATGCACTGTGCACGTCAAAGAAGAAAGAACTAAAAACATATGAGTTACTTTTGTGTAATCTTCTACCTTACAGGTTTTGAAAGACGCCAGTGTCCCAAAAGATGTTCTGAAGTTACGAGCAAGAGCATTGAAAAAGCTTGGGACGATATTCCAGGTAAGCTTATGTTAACGCCTTCTGCCTGTTTCAACCAAGTACTCATGGAAAAACCACATCAGATCTGCAAATGTCCTTTGTCTTATACTCTTATGCATGGCCATGGATGGACGATTGGCCAATATGCTTACTCTCTATGTAACCGTGCATCAAACCAAACAGCCAAAAACGAACCATTGTTGATTCACTGTTTCAATATTATTGATCATCAGTTGAAGTTTTGCGCATGAACCATCATAGATGATCAGTTATGCATAAAAGACCTCTAATCAACTAGTTCCAATATATAAGTTATGCATATGTGAGTCTTACCTCATATATATCGTACTAAAACAATAGAAGCAGTGGATTAATCCAGATTTCATACTTGTAGTGTCTTTCCTGTTGCAGTATCTTTGCGTGCAGCTCATGTGTTCTTGTTTTGTAGCATCTTATCTCGAGTGAGTTTGATAGCAGTGCATAGGTGACAGAGCACACGATGATTATATTCACATGGGTTGTTTTTCAATGTAAAAATCAGGGTGCGAAGTCTCTGTACCATCGTGAAAACAGCCTACAGGTGGAAACCAGCCCACGGCAGGGAGCAGCAACATCGAACTGAAGACTGCAAAAGTACAAAAAGGAAAAAAAAAAGTACACCTGACAGACGCAATTTCTGGTTTTTTGGAGGTGTCGTCTCTCGTGTCCGTTTATTCATTTTTGTAAGATTTTAGACGACGCGTATCGTTCTGGATAAAATTTGCTGTTTGATTTGGTCTCCGTTTTCTTTGTAAAAATGGTGATGCTGTCGTGAGCTCTGAACACGAAGATTTTGTTGGTGCTCTGCAACCTGCATATTACTAGCTTGGGCTATCTCGTTGTAAGATTTGCACCCTTTTGTTTTGTCTTTCAAGCTGGATGATCTCGTGTGTGATGATGCCGCCATGGCACCTGGCAGTGTCATCCATCTGGCCACGAGACCACGTGTGGCATCGTGAATAAGCTAAACACCATATTTAAATTTTTATATACATGTTTCTAGTGATCTAAAAACAAAAGCTGAAAAATAAATTTTGAAGAAAACACTAAAATCAACTTCAAGTTCAAGGCTGAAAATTTAAATTTTACTTAGCTGATAAATATAAGTATAAGTAAAAAGACGGGGCCTCACGACGGAGCATGAGCTGACCTCACGGTGCCAAGCTCATGCTCTCGCGGTGCCAAGTTGTCGCGCACTTTAGTGCTTGCCAGTAAGCTAAACCTCACCTCCGTACCCAAAGTATATATCCACCACCATTTTCTTGTGGCTCCTGATCACAAAGACAAACCATAATAACCATATATAATCACAAAACACAAATAGTGTAGTCGTATTAATTAGACAGCACATGAGCGGAGCCCCTCCCCTGGCTGGCTTTGATCATACTAAATATTAATCAGCTGCCTTTCCGCTCACTTGGCTGGCTTAATTGCTCACATGTTGCCCGCAAAAGTAGGCCCGATCGGCGCGGCTTAACTCCACCGCTCGCTCGCTCGCTCGCGTTCGCAGTCGCACGCACGCTCGCCTCGCCTCCTCTCGCGTTGTGTTTGTGTGTCGCGCGCGACGCTCGCTCGGTTCGTTTCGCCTCGACACGCGATTTGATGCGCGCGCGGTAGGATTCGCCGGCTTTTCATCCGCGTGCACACCGTTCACGTTGGTTTTTTTCTCGCGCGGAGATCGACTGCACTCAACGCAGCAACACTGTGGCGGGCGCCCGGGGGGGGGGGGGGTGGCGTGATTTCCGTGTACTTTGATCCCTTCGTTTCAAAACTGGAGTATGATGAAACTAGACATGTCTTACGTGCTGATTCTTAATCCAAGGATGAGTCCAATCTTATTCTGGAGTATTTTAGAATGGTTACGTACTGGTACCTCTTTATTCAACGTTTGGCCATCCATCTTATTTAAAATAGATTAGTAAAAAAATTAGTACATATAAATCATTATTCATATTTTATCATCTAATAACAATAAAAATAATAATCATATTTTTTTAAATAAGACGGACGATCAAAAGTTGGACATAAAAAATAAAAAAGTGTCGTCTTTCTAATACGGAGGGACTAGTTTTGTCACCATCATCGTCTTCGATACTGTGTCCTGGTATGTACGCGTTGGCCCGTCTGCCGAAAGAGACCTATATTTTGCAAAGAGGATTCCACGAGAAGCCAATGCCGCAATGGAGCCCTTCATCATAAATGAGGCCATGAACGGTCACGGACGCATGGATGTAATTAATTAATTAATTAATTAATTAATTAATTAATTTTAGTTGCACGCTACCATAATTGGGTCCTGTTTGGTTCCATGGGCTAATGTTTAGCCCTCACCTTTTAGCCTCAAATTAGCCCTTAAGAATCCAAACATGTGGACTAATTTTGAGCTAATATGAATTAGCCTCTCTCAAAACATTAGCCCCTCCAAGGGGTGCTAATGGGGCTAATTTTGTATGGGGACCATCAACAAGTAGCTCTCTCTCCTCTCTTTCTACTCTCTCTCTACCTTTTAGCCTTGAATTAGCCCATGGATCCAAACATACCACTCTAGGCTAATGTTTAGCCTACTAATTCATGACTAAACATTAGCTCTCAAAATTAGCCCTGGGCTAATCTTTCAAACAGGGCCCTGGTAGTTTCACAAGGAAACGCTAAATTGCAAGATTAGCCTAGCTAGCATTAGCATGGCATTGCATTGGCAATTTGGCATGGACAGTTTTAATCTTCCTTTCTTTAGCTGGGCCACACGTAGTACTACTATTTTTCAAGATGGTATAAGCAAATATATATATGCTATGCTAGCTTCCTCTCTCCGTTTTCGTGAAACACAAATCAAGGGAAAAAAGGCTAAAAGCGTGACAGCAACCTGTGCTGCGAGCTAAGGTTTTGATGATGTAGTAATTGATTAGTTCATCACACGGCGGAGGAGGACAAAAAATCAACAAAAAAGTACATGTGCTTTCTCAGTGACGTGCAGAAATTAGTAGCACAAAGCATGATGGAGGAGACGACTATTTTTCTCTCAAAAAAAATAATATTATTATTATAGTGCACAATGTTCTCGTGTGTATAGTAGTAATGTCTCTTATTCTAACCAACCAGAAAAACAGTATACATTTTCTCAAAAAAAAAAAGAAAAAAGAAACAGTGTGAGTAGAGTCCGGGCTAGAGAAAATTAACATGTAGTAGTAGTAATAATAATAATAACAATCCTAATCTTCCAATGGTTCTTTATCCTGTACGTGTAGAATATACTGTAGTGTGGTAAAAAAAAGGAGTGGTAAAAATTAATTGATCAGAAGTATTCCAAGTTGAAGTCGAATTGAGCCAAGCTCTGCTCATGGCATGGTAGCGAGAACTTGTGCTCCAGCGTGGCGTCGTCTTCCACCTGATACTCGCCGCCATAGCCACTGTGCTGCTGCTCCATGTCGGCGAAGGGCTCTGCCTTGGCGGCGGCGTCGGCGCCGGCCGAGGCGGCCCAGTTGAGCACCTCGCTGTCGAGCACATTGCTCACCTCGGCGCAGGTCCAGTTGCTGCTGTTGCTGGAGCTCTCGCCGTAGCCCAGGTTCTCCGACACGTCGAGCACGCTGCTGTAGTCGGCGACGAACCCGGCGCCGTCGTCGGGGTGGGAGCCGTACAGCGCCGCCGCCATGTTCGCCGCGCCGAGGTCGAAGCCGGCGCCGAAGTCGGTCACCGGGAACGGGTCGAACACCGACTGCTTGGCGTTCGCGGCGAGGCCGTCGGCGGCGGCGGCGGCGGCGGCGGCGCCGTGGGGCTTGTGATCCTCATCCACCTGGGTGACCGCCGACTCCGAGGACGTCGCCGCCGCGGCGGCGGCGGCGATGGGCTTGTGCGTGGCCGGGTCGAGGCCGCGTTGCCGGAGCTTCTTCTTGAGGCAGCTGTTCCAGAAGTTCTTGATCTCGTTGTCCGTCCTCCCCGGCAAGTGCGACGCGATCTGCGACCACCTGCACCACACCATTATTCCCCCTCAAATCCTTTATCCCTCCGACCAACCTCCATGGCTGCCGCCATTGCAAGAAAGCAAGCAAGCTCCGAAACGGCAATGCAGAATCCAAGACATGAAACCGACCTGTTCCCGAGGATCTCGTGCAGCGCGACGATGAGGTCCTCCTCCTGCTGCGAGAAGCTCCCGCGCTTCAGGTCTGGCCTGAGGTAGTTGATCCACCGCAGCCTGCAGCTCTTGCCGCATCGCTGCAACCCTGCACGACCCAAAAAACCAAAATTAGCCCAATCAAGCTCGCCAAATCGGCAATGGCGATCGATCGATCGATCGAACAGTTGGTGTCTCATTTGAATTGCGTGCGTTCTTGCTTGCCTGCGAGCTTGGGGACGGAGCTCCAGCAGCCGACGCCATGTCGGATGATGTGATTGTACAGCTTATCGTCTTCCTCGGGAGACCAAAGCCCCTTCCTCAGCTTCGCCTGCACGCCGCCGCACGACGACAGCCGTCCCATTCCTCCCCCTCCCTGCCTCTACCTCTAGATCGATGTCCACAACCTACGTAGCTACCACCACCACCACCTCGCCGCCGCCGACGACGACAACGAACACTAGCCGCTCGCCACGACGTCGATCGATGGTCGATCAGCCTCTATAACCCTTCTCCTCACTGGCTATATCGATCAACCGTTGCCCGGTGGTGGTCGGGTATATATGGGGAAGCTTGCCAAGAACTCCTGCAACTTCAGTTAGAGAGAGACACAGAGACAGCGAGCTAGAGAGAGAGAATAGGTGTTTGTGTGGTGTGGTGAGGTGAGGCAGCGATCAAGTGGTTTCTAAGCAAGCTGCCACTCCCCTCTCGAGCTCGCTGGATTAGAGCTCAAGATACCTCCATCTCGCTGGATAAAAATACTGCTAGTTCGCGCCAAAGAGCCTCACTTAATTTCTCTCTCTAATTACAGTGTTAGTTAGAGATCAGAGAGAGAGACAGAGAGATTTAGTTTCCATTTTCTTTTTCTTTTTTTTTTTGCCTAAGATTGATTTCTGCTTTGGACAGCAATATAATATACTAATCCAGCTAGTACAGTTAAGAGAGAGACTAAACACTGGTTAATGGCAAGTGTAACTGTAAGCCATCAATGAGCTCGATCGGGGACCTGTGCAGAGAATCGCGATGTGGTACGGAGAAAAATCGCGTCAGATCATCGCGTTTTACTTGTCCAACTTGATCACCCCCTGAAAACGCCCGTCGTGACATGATCGAACTGACTGGGAATCACTGTGTTTACTACTACTGATGACAGTAATCAGCTCACGGCCACTCGCTGATCTTGAGAGAGATAATTAATTTAATTAATTGATTAATCAAATTAAAGTCACTAATCTCACTGATCGTTTGATGGATGTGGCGGAGCGCAGGTGCTGTATTAGTTGATGGAAGAAAAGCGGACACACGGTAACGATCGGATTACAGTGGCGAAGAATGAAAAATGGAGGGAAAATTGGAATTTTAGACGATTTTGCTTTTTATGTTTCTCTAGCATTTCATTTTTTGTTTAAATCAGTGTTCTAATTATGTTTTTTTTCCTAGCATGATCCCTTTGATTTAGGCGTTGGGTTACGTGAGCATGACAACTCTATAACAAGCTTTGTGATCATGTTCATCTTTTTGGTACGGTCTTAAGTAATCAAGGCGGATGCCCTCTTATATATACGTACCTTTATATCTCCAGCTTGCCACAAATAGTTTTTTTTAGAAACAAAATAGTTATATATTTTAAAAAATATATAAATACGGAGTATACTGGCATCTGATAAAAATAAATCTAAACTCTATCTACAAAGTAAGAGGCAGAGAAGGCAAATACCGTAGTAAATAGTTCATGTAACAATCTGTAGATTTTTTTTATCTGAATGTGTAGGCTTAATTTAAACTTCAGAATTTTTTTAGGAAATTTAAGCCTTGAATCTTAGTAGATAGAACATATACTTCCTCCGTTTCACAATGTAAGTCATTCTAACATTTCCCACATTCATATTGATGCTAATGGATCTAGATAAATATATATGTCTAGATTCATTAGCATCAATATGAATGTGGAAAATGCTATAATGACTTACATTGTGAAACGGAGGGAGTATATGATACTGGCATCATCGCTTTTCATACTATTTTATTTTTTAAAGGAGGGCAAAAACCTTTTTTTTTGTGACTTTTACATAGGGTAAACTTTTTTATATCTTATTTACTTAAAAACATATCGGGAGTAATCGTATTCTCTAATGTTAAACTTGATACCCGAGATATCAAATCTATGACCGTAAAATTTCTCTTATACATATGGTTTAAGAAAACGAGGAAAATATCCTCTTAACACGTGAAAACACTCTCCCCATCTCTACTTAAAACAGAAATATCAAATATGGTACAACCACAAAAGTAGCCCGACCTATGTAGTGTATCACCGATCACCTCAAGCAACATAAGTTTACACATCCCTGTTGAAATTTTCTTTTAACATAAAATTTAGTACCGTTGATTTCCGTGGCCGTGCCTTGCCCTGCCGACCTTGGTGTGCCCATCGGGCTGTCTCGTCCGCGCGTCAATACAAATACGCCACATTTTTCCATCCTCGGACGCGGTCAAGTAGCAATTAACCCCGCTGATCGCTGTCTCGCCGCGTCACCCCCCCTCCTTTCCCGCCGACAGGTGGAGCCACCCTGCCATGCCAAGCCATATTTTATAACGTTTGCGTTAAATATGTGTAAAATGTATTATAAATTAAAACTTAAAGATGATAATAGATATAGTGTGTCTGGTATTTACGATCCTTAATCCAGCCAGCTGATCGAGTATCGTAAATACACAGACGCACTATAATTACGCTAAATCAAAAGTAAGCTTTTCGTAATCGGTATCTCAGGATGTAGATCTCGGCTAAACCTGCCTAACCTATAACGTGTCTCTTATGGTGTTCTTTCGTGTTTAGTTACCGTCGGTTTTATAACAACTTTCGAGAAGGACGAGCGCTCACTTGCTCGTGTGCGCGCACGCGCGCTTAGATTAGATAGTACGTCGCGCGCCTGGACACTGCTCCAGGCTGCGTAGGCGATCGTTTTCTGTTTGCGTCGTGGAGGCACGCGGCGACGACGGCGACGGATTTAACGTCTTGCCTGCTCACACCACAGCTGATCAAATCTCCAGTAGTAATCAGCAGTGGAAATGATCGATATGACGCGCGATTTGGGAGATCGACCAGAAACCAATGGGCGATCGAGCTGTGTCTGAATTCTGATCAGCTGTTCATTCTCTGAGCATTACCCTTGCTGTCTTTTATAATCTGTCGTACCGACAGAGAAAAAATATCCCTGGCTTATTGCCGTGTTCAGAGAAGGAATTAATTCAAACACATGTCGATGGAATTGTATGTAAATTCAGGCTTTGGCGCACGTCCTCGCGATTGTCCAGGAGTATGTTCCAAAATATATTACTTTTAATCTTAGGTAGATTGAAGTATTAAAAAAGTTGATAGAAATAATTGGAAAAATACTATCATTGATTGAGAAAAAGAAATGGGTGAGTTAATTAAATGGAGAATGGTTGTTGAGAGGAAGGGATAGATAGAATAGTTTCAGTCGGGGACAAGCTAAATGTGTTAGAAATAGTTATATTTTAGAACGTAAAAAGTACTACTGTAACAAATGATGAGAAAGTAAAATGAAGAAAAAGATGTGATGAGAAAGCAACGTGCGTACCTGCTGTCCTGCTGTAAATTGCAATCATTTTTGGGGGATCAGAAAAAGGAAAACATCGATCGTCGACAGCAGCGTGTCCACAGATACGGCGTTCAGTTTTTTCAACCCCCTTTTGATTTTTCAAAGGCCCAGTTGTTCGTTTTGTTCTTGTTCGTCGGTAGCTTATGTGGCACAGCACCAAATTCTGACCTTACCACGATGATGCCGTGTAAATCGTGTTACTCTTGTTCCCTTTTTTTTTAACAAAAAGGTAAACCGTGTTAAAAAAAACAAATAAGGGGGGTGTTTAGATCGAGGGGTGTAAAGTTTTGGCGTGTCACATCAGATATTATATAGGGTGTTGCATTGGGTGTTCGGGCATTAATAAAAAAACTAATTATAGAATCCGTCAGTAAACCACGAGATGAATTTATTAAGACTAATTAATTTATCATTAGCGAATGTTTACTATAGCACCACATTGTCAAATCGTGAAGCAATTAGGCTTAAAAGATTCGTCTCACAAATTAGTCTCAATTAATCTATGCAATTAGTTATTTTTTAGCCATATTTAATACTTCATGCAGATGTTCAACCGTTCGATGTGACATGGTGTACAATTTTTGGGTGGGATCCAAACACCCTCTAATATTACTCGATCGTAGTATAGTATATATAGCATCGTTTGATTTTTGTCGTGTAACCTGCTGTCACAAGGTTGTCTGCAGACGAAATCAAGAAACAAAAGCGATAGAAGCCTGAGAGTTACTGAAGAAAAAGGGTGAGAATTACACAATGTTTACTTTGGATTCAGAGCAAAAGGGATGGGAGGACAGAAGGACAGCAAATTGGGCAGAGAGGGACCAGAGATAGTAGCAGGGAAGAATAAAGAACAAAGGCACCATGATCCTTGTACTTGAAGGGAAAAGGAGATTTTGTATACAGATGTTGCACGAGGCTGTGATCATCATCAGATAACTCGACAAGAGGAGTAGATGGATAGAACAAAAGAAAGCAAACAGACAAGAAGGAAAAAAAAAAAGGTACAAGGAGTCGCCTGTACGGCATGGTATATGTGTCTGTAGCTTCAAATGTGATCGATTCTCCAATCATCCAGCTTCTGATCGACGGCGCCACCAGAAAGTGTTCTGCACAAATCAAAGTCCAAAACATCACGTTTTGATGAAGCATTTTCAACTAGGAATCTCGAAATGCAATTCATTTGTTTCTTTCTTTATTTTTATTTTTATTTTTCATTCAGGGGAAAGAGCAGAGTAACACGCCATTGCTGCTTTGCAATGCCCACATGTTGATCGAGATCTGCAATTATCAGCAGCCGTACCACACGCTGTCTCCCCACAATTTCTCTCTCTCAGCAACCGTTTCAACACAGGGTCAACCGCGCAATAATCAGAACCTGTGTTCATCTTTTGAATTTCGAGTAAATTGATGCACGAGTTGCACGGCCCTGATAATGCATCTAGGTGTAGCTAGAGCTATGATGACTTGAATTGCAATGTTGCATTGTTACAGTTGGATTTCTGTTGTTAGCTCCGATCCACGGCCGGCTGGTTGGTGAGATGAGGAGGACGGACACTGTCACTCTGTCAGTCTGTTACAGTGATCATCATCAGATGTACCACTTACCTTCTACCTCTACTAGAGAGTGTCGACAGGAAGTAGGAGTACTAATTAAGAACACGTTCTAAAGAGTTAATTGAGCTTAAGTACTTATTTTTCATTAGCATTCTTTTTTAATTGCTAAATTGTATGTTTCGTACGAAATCTTTTTATATAGAAAGTACATTTAAAAATGCAAATAAGTCTATTTTTAAAAGAAAGTTAATAATTAATAGTAATTAATCATATGCTAAACATGTTTCTCAATTAGCGTGTACCTATTCAGTCAAAACTATACTCCGAAAAGAAAGTGCCCTAATTAAGGGTCTGTTTGTCACAGCTCAAACTCCAACTCCACCTTTTCAGCACTAGTGCACAATCAAACAATTTTAGCTCCACGTTAAAAAAATTAGTGTAGCGAAATAAAGTGCTCTCACAAAATAAGTACTTGTTTGGTTTGCTACTATGTCAAAATATTGCAATACCAAACCATAGGCAAATTTTGGTACTACCAAATATTTTGACAACTTATGCGTCATCTTATTGGCATATTTTGATAGCAA